GGACGGTAAGATGACGGCTCTTCTTGTGGCTTCTTTCCTTTAGGGAGTAGAACTAGTCGTTGTTGTTTCCATTTCCGAGGAAATGTCCCTTCCTTGAGGCACTTATTGTAAACTTCCAAGAATAACGTTGGTGCTGCCTTTATGGCTGTTTTCAAGGCAATATTAGGGATTCCGTCTAGTCCCGGCGCTTTGTTATTCCCGACGCGGTTACAAGCCTCCATTAGTTCTTCTTCCGTGACAGATGGAATGTCTTCAGGGTTTAGCTGCCTTAGCTGGCCGGTGAATACCGGTTGTTGAGGAAACAGCACAGTAACAATCCTCTCTAGGAGTGTGTGTGTGTGTGTGTGTGTGTGTGTGTGTGTGTGTGTGTGTGTGTGTGTGTGTGTGTGTGAACTTAGATTTTGAATAGCGTTTGGACCCATTCGAACCAGTAGATTTGGAGTACGGCTGCCTAATTTCAAAACACAGTAACGAACATTTAACAATAAGCCTTTTCAAGCTAGTGTTTCTCTTCTTTATTTCCTTTCTTACTTTTCAAGTATGTTTTGCAAAGTTCACACGTTTGTTTGTTTGACATTTGCTCTTCGTATTTCACCTTTACACATATTGGTTCATGGAACCATCGCTTGCATGCATTACATGTAAGTTTCTGTTCTTTCTGTGAACACTTTTTCTTACCGCAATATAAGCAGCAATCTCTCATGTCTTCTGATGTACGGAGTATTGCACGAGCCATTTCCCGACGTAGCTTTGCCGGTACCAAATTCTCGTCCATGGATGTACCTCGCTCAATACATTCAATATAATAAGCGACGTATATTCCACAATTTGACTGGTCATTGGTTGCTTGATATGGGCGTACTCTACTAGGCTTTATTGTCCATTTTTTATTTTTCAGTTTTTTATACAAACTTGATTCGGTCACGCACGACTTAATAAATGTCGTAAATGCTTCAACCACACGGGTTTCGCTATCAGTTTGCTTTTCATATGGGTCCAATATTTCCAGTGTACTACATTCAACATCAATGACCAATAAAAGCCAATGAAACTGAAACAAATACGGCATCAATATAATGTCGCAAAGAGGCTCTTTAATCTGAGCTATTGATGAGGCAGATGCTAATCTTTTAGGTTTGTCTTCTCCTACATTTACTGAGATGGTTTTTGAACTTACATCTGTTGAAAAGTAGCTGATATTCAACCAAGTATCTATGTGACTTGCTGTGTATATATCGATAATCCAACCACTAAGCCACCCTGTCGGATATATCAATGTAAGTAACGTTGATGCATTCAGCCTGTGTACCTTCACCAAAATACATTTCTCATTATCGCAGTTGTATCGACCTTTTTCTATGGTAGAAGATATCCACTGGTAATATTCAGAATCTTCAACTAAGCCATTGTTAAATTTATTTACTTCTGCCACTAATAATTCAAAATTATTATTGACACTTTCTAGAGAAACTGCTGCCTGAGTTACTTCAGTCATTTCCGGGATCCTTTTACGTTTTTGTGGAGAAGATTTTAATACGGTTGGACCATTTTCAAGCTTTCCAGATTTCTTCATCCGTTTAGGCTTATGCAAATCTTGAACGGAATCATTTTCGAGACTGTTGTCCATCTTTGCACCACTTTCAGGCTCATGAGAGATTTTTATCCGCTTAGGACTATGCGACTTTTCATCAGAACTAAGATTGTTATCATCATTGATCTTTTTACTATCTGCTGACTCTGTCACATGTCTTTTGATTTTGATGAAATCTCTTCCTGATGAACGTGTGACTTTTCGGGCTTTGATTCCCTGATTTTTGATCAATTTGCCTTTTGGATCCCATAATTCTGTCACAAGTGGATTTGATGCCGACTCTGAATAACACGGCTTTTCAGTAACTGTTATGCCACCGTCAGCTAATTGGTGTTGTATTTTATTTTTATTGAGTAGAAACTCGTTTCGTTTTATAACCTCGCGACACATGTTTGCAACGCTCCTATTTTTTGAATTATTCATGTCTTTGGTTTTGTATTCATTAATAAAGGTTTTTTCAATGTCACTTTCAACTAAAACCACATTTGAACTTATAACCTTTGACAGAATTTTAGTCACAAAACATAAAAAAGGTACCAGCGAAATCATAATGTAGTTTATGAATTCCGGTGAATATAAATCATTGGTAACTTCCTCAACTTCTGTTTCTTTCTTCATTATTCGTTCCTTGGTGTATTGGACGTTCCATGCGAATTCATTGTAATACGGCGAATCTGTGAACTTTGACGTTGGATCAGCTGCATTTTTTAGGACCTCCATATAAATCGATTCTTCATTGATTTTTGCTTGTAATGAATTACTCGCACGTTCAATGATACTCTCAATCAATTTCTGATGTTTGGTCTTATGGTCCATTCGCAATACCTCTATATGTGAATCAGCAGTATCTTTCACTTTCGTCAGTAGAATGTTGCTGATTGTAATTAATGCACTCTCAACTTCCTTTAATGATTCTGCTAATGTTATTATAGCTATAAATTCCAAATATAATTTTGCATGTTTAGTCAAATTATTAAAATGCATTTTAATGTCGTGTGCGACACGTTGTATCACGCTTTCAGTGCTACAAACAACAAGTATCTTCTTGTTCAACATAACTTGTTCGTTTTTTGCAAATTCATAAGCCATTGATAAATACTTATTTGGTGTCTGATCGTTCCACTCTGTAAGTACGCTTTCAATTTGGCTCCAATCAAAATCAGTGACAACCACGTTAAAAATTGGCCAGTTAATATTTCTCACTGTTGCGAAGTTTCGGTATTCTTTCAAAAAGATACAAAACGAGTTTTTATCAATCTCTGAAGTGATCATCTCGCAAATCGGAATTGTTGTTTTCTGTGCCTTGTACACTAATGCATAATAAAAGATGTAATTATCTTTTATGAATTGCGGTGCTGCACAATAAGCCTGTGTTACACACAAGTGTAATATATTACAACTGCAAGTAATATCTACCACGTCTAATTGTTTTTTTGTATAAATACAAACCCTTAGAGGAAAAGCAATTAATTGCATTGGACTATCAGCATCTTCTTCATTTTTCGATACCCACAAATGTAACAAATCATTAGCATCAATGGATTGTAGTGGTTTAATGTCTGACAATGTATCGTCGGAATGAACTCTATGAAAAGTACTGATACTGCGAACTGTTTGAGTATGTCCTCTATATTGTTCCAGGTCCGTCTTTTTCACATGATTCAAATAAACTTTCCTCGCAGATTTGGATCTCAATTCTTCTTTCGCTTCTTTTCGAGCCTGATAACGTAAGTGTGAGAACTTTGTTTTTCCTGGATTAACCCTAACCGTACAAGGTGATATTTTTTCAAAGCTACTACAATTTATCTTGAACATTTTTCCATTACTGGTGAGATATTCATTAATATCTAATTTCCATTCAGCATCATGGTTCATGTTCTTGGCCTTGCAGCGTAAATAAGCAACTCTATTAGATCGATTTTTTCGAATTTTACCAAAGACCTTGACGGGACAGCGTATATTTAAATTGAATTTTTGTTGTTCTATTTCAGTTCGAAATAATTTCTCATCGAATTCGTTATGTCATTAATTTCCTGCCTTCAACATTAATGGAACCTACACTAAAACACCAGTCCTTGCGGTTACTAGTTTCAGATTTTCTATCCTTCTTCTCGGAATTTTCCATCTGCGATGGCTCTGATGGTTGGTTTAGCAAATCATCTGTTTCTTCCTCAGATTCACTGTCTACGCTCGGGCGTTCACACACCATTGAGTTGCTCACCTTATTTTCTGTCTCTTCATCTTCATCATCTTCAGATACATTTCCATCCAAGGTTTCATGAACTTTTGATTCTTCTTCGTCTGTTTGAACATGTTCTGAACCAACTAAATCTGGAATTTCAGATGTGGTTTCGGTACAATGTGGATTGTCATCTTCATTATCTTCAGATACATTTCCATCTAAGGTTTCATGAACTTTTGATTCTTCTTCGTCTGTTTGAACATGTTCTGAACCAACTAAATCTGAAATTTCAGATGTGGTTTCGGGACAATGTGGATTGTCATCTTCATTATCTTCAGATACATTTCCATCCAAGGTTTCATGAACTTTTGATTCTTCTTCGTCTATTTCAGCATGTTCTGAATCAACTAAATCTGGAATTTCAGATGTGGTTTCGGGACAATGGGGAATGCAGTCTGGATTTTCAATGGCATCAGAAATTTCTTTGTCATTTTCGATACTTGACGAAGTTTTTATATGATCAGTTCTACATTGTTTCGACGAATCTGTTTCACAACATTCTTCGTTAGTGGGTGAAATTTCAACCGTTTTCTTTGTTACTTCCTGAATTTCTTCCATTGCTTCAAAATGCCCATCATCTCGCTTGCCGGAAAAAGCTATATAAATAAATGGATCATTGGGCACTTCGCTTCCTACCAAGGGTACGATATCAATCTCATTCAGCTTTTTATTATTATTTAATATAACCAACTTGACGTTTGTTTGAAATCTTTTTGCGAAATTTCCGATTTCAAAATCTGTCCCTAAACAGCCTTTAGATCCCATTTTTGTCGCATAATCTTGGACATTTCTCTACTTTACTATTGTACTGGAACTTTCCAACATATCTTTAACATCAGACCAGTTTTCGACAGCGTATTGCACAATTTCTTTTCGAAAGTATCGATCCTGATTTGCATCGCCCGTTTTAAGATACGCGAGCGAATAAAATAAACAATCACCATGCCCTGCATTCATAATTCTCATGAATCGTTTTCCATCGCATTCGATGATCTTATTTTCGCTCGAACTTCCTTGGTCGGGCTTAGCAACTTTCGAAAAATCGTTTGGACTGTTTTCAATATGTTTTCTCTCCAAGCTAGCTTCAACTGAAGTGATTTTTGCGGCATTTTTTGCTTTATCAATTTGACATGTCCCCAAACTTGCTTTACCTGAAGTAATAATTTTTGCGGCATCTTTAGGAGCTTTATTAATTTGACATGTCCTCATACTTGCTTTAACTGAAGTCATAATTTTTGCGGAATTTTTAGGAGCTTTATCAGTTTTAGATGTCTCCAAACTTGTTTGGTTGGAATTGATAATCTTTGAAGATGCTTTTGGACATTTTTTAATTATTAGGTTCGCATTGTTTGGTAATGTGCCAACTACCGAAACTTCATAATACCTTTGAATTACTTTATCCCGAAAATTGACCATCGACCACAAACGTCGTACATTGTTACGTAATTTGACATTACACTGTACTTTTAACTTATAAGCAATCTGAAATCCGAATACATGATATTAAAACGAATAGTTATCGCACTGATGTTAATTTTATTAAACACTTTACTGAGAAAAAAGTTAATTTCATCGATATTGAAACTTTTAAATTATGCCGATAATATAACAAAATGCAATAATAAAAAAAAATAAAAAATGCCGCAATTATTTTTGAGCATGTGCCAAAAATTGTAATCTTCTATAAGACAAATACTCATATAGGGGCATTCCATGCCAAATCGACCACTTTTGACACCGACCCTTTTCGATTTTTCTGAAATTTTGGTATCTTTCTCTACCCTATTGAAAACAATTTTCAGAATTTTTTCAATTTTTTTACCCAACCAAAAAAAGTTACGAGTTATTACAAAAAACAGTTTTTTTTTTTTGTTAAATAACCATAAATTTTTTGAAAATTGACTTTTTGGGATGTTTTTTTTTTGAAATTTTTGTCTTTAAATGTACTTTTAAAAAAAAAAATAAAAATAATAATTCGGATTCATATTCAATATTTTTTTTAACTTTTTGGAAAAAAAAACGAAAATTTCGGGATGATTGACATTTTTGATTTTCAATTTTTCTTTTTTATAAAAAACTTCAGTATTTTTTGCAAATTCCCTAAAATTTTCAGAGTGGTAAACTTTTTCTTTCTATTTTTTTTTCAGAGTGGTATAACGAAAAACAAACATTTAAAAAAAAATTTTTTTTTTCATTAAAAAAAAAAAATAGAAAGAAAAATTTGACCACTCTGAAAATTTCAGGGAATTTGCAAAAAAATACTGAAGTTTTTTATAAAAAAAAAAA